ACACGTCTGTGGTTCCATAAGGTTATAGAATTCGGAAACCCTGATTGCAGAACAGGACGTAGGAGATGTAACGAACATAATTGAACATAGGGAACACAACAGCTTCCTGCCCGTAACGTGTATGTCACGTCTCTTGTATACAAAATGATTGCATTGCCAGGCATATAATTGTACAGTAAATTGTAGAGGGAGGTTATTTGCCCCAACAAATAATACAGTGTTAGAACACCACGCAAATCACAGAACATAGTGTAGACGTTAAGCAACACATGACTGTATATCCTGGATTAAATCTTTATCTGGGAGAGAAAAAACTTTATTTGATGTACAGTTTCCAAATATCTTCTCCCATTCTTTTGGTTGTCTTTTTACTTGATTGATAATGTGTCTTGATGCACAAAAGTTTTTAATTTTTGTGAAGCCTAGTTTATTTTTTCTGTTGTTGCTCACATTTTTGGTGTTATACCTAAGAATCCATTGCTTAAAAGGTCTTGAAGCTTTACCTCTATGTTTTCTTCTAAAAGTTTTATGACTTTAGCTCTTACATTTAGGTCATTGATCATTTTTAATTCATTTTTGTGTATAGTGTGAGGTATGGGTCCAACTTCATTCTTTCGCATGTTGAGATCCAGTTGTCCCAGCACCATTTGTTGAAGAGACTGTTCTTTCCCCCATTGAATAGATTTGGCACCCTTATTGAAAATCAGTTGATGACAGATTCATAGGTTTATTTCTGGATTCTTAATTCTATTCCATTGGTCTAAATATCTATCCTTATATCAATACTACAGTTTTGATTACTGTAGCTTTGTAATTTGTTTTGTAATTGGGAAGTGAGTCCTCCTACTTTGTCCTTCTCTTCCAAGGTTATTTTGGCTATTTGGGGCCCCTTATAATTCCATATGAATTTGAGGATTGACTTTCCATTTTTGCAAAAAAGGCTGTTGGAATTTTAGTAGGGATTGTGTTGTATCTGTAGATCACTTTGGGTAGAATTGATATCTTAACAATATTAAGTTTTCTAATCCATAAATTTATTATTTAGCTCTCCTTTATTTTCTTTCAGCAGTGTTTTATAGTTTTCAGTGTGAAAGTCTTTCACCTCCTTGGTAAAATTTATTCCTAGGTATTTTATACTTTTAGATGCTAATTTAAAAAGGAATGGTTTTCTTAAATTCCTTTTCATTTTGTTTTTGCTAGTGTATAGAAACACAACTGATCTCTTGTACCCTACAGCTTTGCTAAGAAAGCTCTAGTAGCTTTCTTGTGGATTCTTTGGGTTTTTTGTATATATAGTATCATGCCACATGCAAATTGAGATAGTTTTACTGCTTCTTTTCTGATATGGATACCTTTTATTTATTTTTCTTGCCTAATTGCTCTGGCTAGGACTTACAGTACAATGTTGAATAGCAGAGTTGAAAGCTGGCATCTCCTTGTCTTATTCCTGATCTTAGGGGGAAAACTTTTAGCTTTTTCACCATTGAGTATGAAAAATCTTATTCTCTTGCCCATCTGAGTTAATTACTGTTACTGAACATGTCTTTCAGTTCTTTCCTTCTAGGATGCCATTTGGTCGTTCCCTTTCCTTTTCTTAGATGCATTCCTTTCCCTTGCTATGTATGATCATGATGATAACCACCATAGCAGCTACAATTTAATGAGTGCTTAAGCAGTTTACATTCATTACCTCATTTAATCCTCACAATTTTTTCTTCCTTGTATCTAGTTTTATTTTAATTAAGGAGGGAACAGTATCTCATATAATTCAGCAGTCATGAGAACTTTTTGAACTAAGCACCGTTATTGTCTCCATTTTACAGATGAGGAAGCTGAGGCACAGAAAAATTAAGTAACCTGCTCAAGGTCACATAGCTAGTAAATAGGTACCAAGATTTCAACCCTGGCCATCTGGAGATGAAACCCAAGTGTTTAACAACACTATACTGCCATCTCCCGTCAGTTGAAATTGTACTCATCTTTAAAACCTAACTCAAGTTTTAGTATCTAAAGCAAAAGTAAGTTTTTCCTCCTCTGAATATTGTATGTGTTACTCATTTGGCACTTTTATTAATGCAACAAATATTTATTATTGACTGTTTTGCTTTTTTTACCCATATATACATAGTTTATCTCCCTAAATAGATTTTAAGTATCTTGAAGGCAGAGATGGTTTCTTGTGGCGCAGTGGTTAAGCATTAAGGTTGCTAACCAAAAGGTTGGCAGTTCAAATCCACCAGCCACTCCCTGGAAACCCTATGGGGCAGTTCCACTCTGTCCTATAGGGTCTCTGTGGGTTGCAATTGACTCAGCGGCGGTGGGTTTAGTTTTTGGTGCCTGACACATGGGCTTTTCTTTTTCTTTTAGTTTTCTAGTGCCATAATTTACATATCATAAAATTCACTCATTCTATGTGTACCATTCCATGATTTTTATTAAATTTACTGAGTTGTGCAGCCTTCACCAAAATCTAATGTTATAACATTAAAATGAGTTAATCCCCTACAAAGATTCCTTACGTCCATTTGTAGTCAATCCCTGTTTCTACTTCAATCCTCAGGCAATGTGCTTGGCTGTCTGTGTCTGTAGATTTGTTTTTTCTGGATGTTTTATACAAATGGAATCATAAAATACACGGTCTTTTGCATCTGGCTTCTTTCACTTAAAATATTTTTCCATGTTGTAGCATGATCAGTTTGTTCCTTTTTATTGCTGAATAGTATTCCACATTTTGTTTGTACATTCACCAGTTGATAGACGTTTATATTGTTTCCAGCTTTTGGCTATTATGAATAATGCTGCTATAAATATTTGCATACAATTCTTTGTGTGGGCATATGTTTTCATTTCTCCTGGGTACATTCCTAGGAGTGGAGTTGTTGGATCATATGGTGAATTTACATTTAACTTTTAAAAAAACTTCCAAACTGTTTTACCTTCATACTAGTAGTGGATGGGAGTTCCAATTTCTCCACATCCCCACCAGCGCTTGTTACTGTCTGGATTTTAAAAACTTATCATTATAGTCATTTTAGTGGATATGAAATGAGAGCCATCTACCTTTAAGAATATCTGAAAAAAACACAACTTAGATGAAAGGATTGAGGTTGCAGGGCAAGTTCCAAGAATTAATTACTCTCACCAAATGCCTTTCATTTATTTGTTCATATAGCTATCCAACAAATACTTTTTCAACATGTTCTGTTTGCTAGATTCAGAAACACTATCTACTCTCTCGGGAGAAGGATTGTTATTAAACAACAAATGTAACAGGATAAGTGTCTTAGTTATCTTGTGCTGCTGTAACAGAAATACCACAAGTGGATGGCTTTAAGAAACAGAAATTTATTTTCTCAGTTTAGGAGGCTAGAATCCAAACTCAGACCACAGGCTCTAGGAGAAGTCTTTCTCTCAGCTCTAGGGAAAGGTCCTTGTCTCTTCAGCTTTTGTTTCCTGGTACCTTAGTGATCTCTGTGTAGCATGGCATCAGTTTTCTCCCATCTCTGCTTCTCTGGCTTATTTGTATAGTCTCTTTTATGTCTCAAAAGAGATTGACTCAAGACATAACTTACACTCATCCTGCCTCGTTTGCATAACAAAGACAACCCATTCCCAAATGGGATTACAACCACAGGCATAGAGGTTAGGATTTATAATACATAAAATAGAGGATAATCAGATCACTAAATGGAGGACAGCCATACAATACCGGGAATCATGGCCTAGCCAAGTTGACACATATTTTTGGGGGACACAATTCAATCCATGACAATAAGTCTTCCTAAGAAAGCAGTATATGCTGTGTGATGCCTTAGCCAGAGCCCAACTGTGGTAGCTGATGAAGATCACACATTGTATTACTAGATCAGGTCCTTGCTTTTGCGAGTGACAGATGCCCACTTCCAGGTGGCTAGAGCACATTGTAGGGTTTGATACTTGCAGTCTTTAGGAGTTTGTGCCAAGAAAGAGCTGGAGTTCTTTCGTTGGAGGCAGAGCTATGCCTTCGTCTGAAGTTCTTAACTTCTTGAATGTCAAACACTTTAGCAGGGCCCCTTTGCAAGTCCACAGACCCCTAAAGAGTCTGGATACAATTCAAGAGTCTGTGAACTTGAATGGGGAAAAAAAAATCACATTTTTTCCCCACTAACCTCTTAACTGAAATTTAGCATTTCTTTCTATTATAAATGTAGAAAACAAATCAAAGTATTAACAGTACTCGTGGCTGGTCACCGATAAAATCATTATTTTCCTAGCACATTGTAGTTATTGCAGAGATTTCAAAATAGTGTTTTGCTCACTGCTACTTCAAGTTATAGCCATTATTAGACCTCCTGTGTGATCTTGTTATTTGAGTGAGTTAATACAGAAGCACATCTATTTTATCAAAATTTTTATTAAATATTTGATAACTGAATTTCAATGTAGTTGTTTTCTATGTAATTTAAGTATTTTATTTTCTGTGTTAAAAAGCTATTCTGAGAAAGGAACCAAGTGCGAAGGGACTCATGGTGCAGAAAAAGTTAGGAACTCCCCTTTAATGGTTTATTTTCTCCTGAGACAACACTACCTTGTGGCCTCAGCACCGTTTCTCCACATAGTGCCGTTCTTTTCCCTCCACTCTTCCTTTCATCTGCTCAAGCTCTGCTTGCAAACACTCAACACCAGCCAACCCTGCCTCTTCTCAGAATCCACGGAGTCATGGTTGCTTAATTCTCACTGAATGCTGAACCTTTTTTCCATGTTTTAGTCAATGCAAAATGTGGGTGAGTTTGGAGGGTACTGGTGAAACCAACCTACTGATACCTTTCTCATTCATTTTTAAAATGTGCACGTCAAGAAGGACATAGCCAAATGTAAATGCAGGAAAGACATCTTTCTGGCTGAACAGTAACACAAACTGGCTTTAAAAAATTTTTGAAGTAAATATCAATGTTGTTGCTTAACCTGGCACATGGGGTTTTAATATTGTTGATTATTTAAATTTCCTTCTTTTCAAATAGAAATCATGTTGTTGATATCAGTGTTGCCGTCAGTACTCCTGCAGGACTCATCACACCTATTGTATTTAATGCACATATAAAAGGACTGGAAAGCATTGCTAGTGATGTTGTTTCTTTAGCAACCAAAGCTCGGGAGGGTAAACTACAACCACACGAGTTCCAGGTAAGGTATCATTTACTTAACTTCTGAATGTTAAGAATGATGTTATTCCAGTACAGCTAGATGGTGCCTGGCTACCACCACTGACTGCTCTGACCGGGATCACAATAGAGGGTCCTGGACAGCTGGAAAAGGATGTAGAACAAAATTCTAACTCACAAAAAAAAAGACCAAATTTACTGGTCTGACTGGAGAAACCCCGAGAGTATGGCCCCCGGACACCCTTTTAGCTCAGTGGTGAAGTCACTCCCGAAGTTCAGCATTCAGCCGGGGATTGGACACCCTTATAAAACAAAACAGGACTAATGAGGCACAGCAGTCCAGGGACAAGGACTAGTAGGCAGGAGGGGACAAGAAAGCTTGTGATAGGGAACGCAAGGTTGAGAAGGGACAGTGTTGATACGTTGTAGGGTTGTTAACCATTGTCATAGGGCAATATGTGTACTAACTGTTTAATGAGAAACTATTTGTTCTGCAAACCTTCATCTAAGATACAAAAAAAAAAAAGAAGAATTATCTATGTGAGATCAAATTGACAACAGCAACTCAAAAAGTTTGATGGGAAGCCTGGGGCAGTGAGTTGAAGATAATGGTGATGGAATAATTTGGAAAAGGATAGTGAGAGTAGCAGCACAACTGGAAAAATGTAATCGATGTCACTGAATTGTACATGTAGAAACTTTTGAAATGGTGTAACTTTGGCTATGTATATTTTCACCAAAAAAAAACAGGTTCTCTAAGGTTGAGAAGGGAGAGTGTTGATATGTTGTGGGGTTGTTAACCAATGTCATAAAACAGTATGTGTACTGACTGTTTAATGAGAAACTATTTGTTCTGTAAACCTTCATCTAAAGTACAATAGAAAAAAAAAATATATATATAAAGAATGATGTTATTGTTAAGGTCCACATAATGTTTTTTTGGATTTTCTACCTTTTGATTCTGCCATGTATTCTCACTGACACAAGGTCCTGAAAATAAAGAAAAATTGAGTAACGTTTGTAATTTTTTTCTGATTTATGTTGATAAGCAATTAATTTGATCTTTTTTTTTTTTTAATCTTTTTTCCTATAGGGGGGTACTTTCACAATCTCCAATTTAGGAATGTTTGGAATTAAGAATTTCTCTGCTATTATTAACCCACCTCAATCGTGTATTTTGGCAATTGGTGCTTCAGAAGATAGACTGGTTCCAGCAGATAATGAGAAAGGGTAAGTGCCAAAATGGGACGGGGGTTGTAAGCTTATTTTTATTACGTTATACCTGTTTTTGAGTCTTAATTTTACAGATAGTCATTTGGTATGGTATATTGGATTTTCAGGTAGAATCAGCCATAAGTATAGACTGAAGTTCCTCAGGATAGCTGCTTTTCACATTTTACTAAATGCAGTAAATCCTATTTGAGAATGGAAGCCTTATTTACTCTAGATCAGAGGTCAACACACTTTTTCTTAAAGAGCCAGACAGTAAATATTTTAGGCTTTGTGGGCCTAATTTCTCTGTTGCAAATACCTAACTTGCCATTGTAGCATGAAAGCAGGTATAGATAATACATAAATGAATGGACATGGCTGAATTCCAGTAAGCCTTTATTTATAAAAACAGGTGGAGGTCCACTTTAGCCCATGGGCTGCAGTTGCTGATCCATGCTCCAGATGGCTGTTTTGTCTGTTTCTTCAAGCTGTTAATTTGAGCTATTGAAGTAGGGGATGTAAAGAGTAGGTGGAAAGTAATGTTACCTGTTTGGATTATAGAGTAGGAGTCAGCTTTGGGCTGGTTACTGGCTAAATTCTAGTGATCGCTTTCAGAGTACCTAATAATGTTTATGTTTTTATCTTTTTCTAGATTTGATGTGGCTAGCATGATGTCTGTTACACTCAGTTGTGACCATCGAGTTGTGGATGGAGCAGTTGGAGCTCAGTGGCTTGCTGAGTTTAGAAAGTACCTTGAGAAACCTATCACCATGTTGTTATAATTAACCCCAAAATTTCTAGACTCTCCTAGGTCACATTGGTTCATTCTTACCAAGATATTTATGTTATTGAGCAGGTGGTTATTTTTATTTTAAAGTTAACCAGTTATTTTTGTTATTGAGTCTGTCCAGATAAGTTATTTGTAATGGGCATTACTGAATTTTTCTAATGCCAATTACACTCAAATACTGTGCACATTCAGTAATTAAATACCAGATTTTAAGCCAGGGGCTCCTAGTGAAGGAACATATGGCCTAGCTCTTTGGTGATAAGTATGTCCACTAAGAAACGTAGTAAAGGCAGAATTGTGGTTCCCTGTTGAGACAAGTACATAAAAGTAACTTGGATAAAATCTTGAATTTATAAAATTTAATTTCCTAAAATGTTGTGCTTGGACTTAAGAGGGAGAGAAGGGGTCAGGAAAATTAGTTCTCTTGGAGAAAGTGTTTGAATTGAAGCTTGACTTTGGAATTTAAGCCCAATGTAAAATTTTCAGTTATATGATCTTGGTTTAGCATGAATGGGGGGGTTGGGGGTGGTGGTGGGGTAGAGAACTTTAAGGAAAATAAGTAAAATATCCAAAGTCAACATTTTCTTAGACATCCCAACCAAACTGTTCTTTGCTCATTTTTTCTATGAATCCTTAAATGGTTGTTTTCCCATTTTGAACTGAAATTATAAAGATATAAACAACTACTTGGTATAAATGAAAATTTGTGTGGGTATTTATTTAAACAAATGTATAATTCTGAGATCAGAATCTGTAATTACCTCCAAATACAATAATATGTTTATAGAACTTAACAGAAAGAAATTATGAAAGTAGAATCCTTACTAACTGGTGGTTATTGCAAATGAGCCTAATTATCACAATCCTTTACTCAAGGAAATATGGGAAGCTATATTGAATAACTAACTATGGAATAAGTGTACATATGTAAAATCTGGTTACTAGAGTTGGATATGTGCCAAAATCATTTGTCACTAAGTCCTACCTGAAAAGAAGAAGGGTAGAAATGTATTAGTAAATAGGGCTGAAAGATAATGCCCCAAAGTGGTCAGTTCTACTTCGATGAAGTAGAAAATGTTAAATATGTACATAAAGTGTTCTGTGTCTTTCCACCCAATGGTTGTCTCGTGTAAAATAAGAAAGCCTTAAATCCCATTGGAGAGAAAAAAGTATTTAGGTTGCTACTTTATCTTAAAGGAGCCCTGGTGGCGCAATGGTTAAGCGCTCATCTGCTAACCGAAAGGTTGGTGGTTGGAACCCACCAGCTGCTCTGCAGGAGAAAGATGTGACAGTCTGCTTTCATAAAGATTACAGCCTTGGAAACCCTATGGGGCAGTTCTACTCTGCCCTACAGGGTTGCTGAGTTGGAATTGACGGCAGTGGGTTTGGTTTTGGTTATCTTAATAGCTTACTTCTTCCCATTTTGTTATGATTTACCTTTCCTTTGTGAGGACGAAGGAGATAATATTCAAGATAATAAAAATTAACTGGAAACATCACAATTCGACTTTCTATTGAATTGATGAGTTTTAATAAATGTTTGGGATTGTTCATAAATATTAAAATAAATCTGACCAGTGCTTCCTTGTATATGTAATACATGAAGCTAACCCTAAAATTTATTCTTTCAGTGTTGAATCTATTTCTAAATGTTCATTATTACATGGTACACAAGTGACACTCCATATATTCCACAAATATTCACCTTGTTGTATTATTATGAAAATAATACATTAATCTGATTTTTCAGTAATTAGTAATTTTGGCTTGAACTGAAGATTATATAGAAGGATCAAGCTTATCACAAGGGACCATCATCCTTATGAGCCAAATCTGGTTCAAAGATATGAAAATTCATTCTTTGCTTATGCTTATGGCTCTATTGTTCCCTTGAAAGAAAAATAAAAACAATAACCTTTTAATAAAAAATTGTTCTGAGTTAAAAATCTGAGCTGTAATCTAAACCCAGGTATTTCTATTTCCAGGACTGAAAGAGAAAAGGCTAGAAATAGTGTTTTGGGTTCAAATTAGAAACTATATGTTTTCAACATGTCTGGTGTAATTTTTGATCTGTTGGAAATTGTTTTGCACATTAAATGATTAAGATGCAGGGACAGCTATGTACTTGTAAGCTCTTAATAGAGACTTAATACAGATAATTTTTGAGTTTATAGAGTTGGTAAAAGACTGAGTTTATGAAGATGTAATCTTAACTGTTAAATCTCAAGGAGTTACCTGAAGCATCTCATGTTGGAGTATGGCACATATATTAGCAAGATGAAAGTGTGGTCTGGCTCTGTTAGATGTTTTACTCCAGTTCTAAGTTTTATAAGTGTGTCATTAGGGACCCAAAGCATGGTCTACAGCAGGAACTGACCAACATGGTAGAGATGGCAGGAATGATTGCAAAGGAGTAACCCTCACCTGGTAATATATCAGTCCTAGAATACATAGGAAAATCACAGTCACTGGTGATAATTGCTTTAAACCCAACTGTAGAAATAGCCAGTCTCTAAATCAAGGATACTATTTATGTCTATCTGAATTGATTTCTAATGTTGAGAAAAAAATTATAAAATTCAAATCAGTCCACATTTCATTATTAGGACCATTCCTGGGCAAAGTTTGGCCTTTTGCAGGGAGGGGAAGTGAGAGATGTTTTTATGAATATAAAATCCACTGAAGTAATGTCAGTGAAAATATTTTGGAAAGTTACTAGAATGTAACGGCAACTAAAAATGAAAATTTTAACATTAAGCATGTTAGGTCTTGATATGTGTTTTATTAATAAGTATACAAACAGGGAGATAGTAACCCGAGTAACATGTAAGTGCTGAGAGTGAAAGACTAGAGGTTCCATCAGTTCCATGGATAGGTAGGGAGGTTTTTAGGAGATATATTTGGGCATGATTTTACAGGAAAGATGGGGTGAAACCATTCCAAGTTTTTTTTTGTTGGGGAGGCAGTGAGGAGACCATAAGGAGCCCTGGAGGCAGAATGGTTAAAGCACTCGGCTGCTAACCAAAAGGTCAGCGGTTCAAACCCACCAACTGCTCCGTGGGCAAAAGATGTGGCAGTCTGCTTCCATAAAGATTTACAGCCTTGGAAACCCTAAGGGGCAGTTCTACTCTGTCCTATAGGGGCACCATGAGTTGGAATTGATGGCAGTGATTTTTTTTGGGTGTGGTGGGGTGGGTGGGTTTAAGGATACCAGAGCCTGGGTGGTTCAAATGGTCTAAGAGCTCGACTACTGAAAGGTTGGTGGTTTGAACCCACCCAGAGGTTACTCCGAACAAAGTCCTGGTGATCTGCTTCTGAGAGGTCAGAACCTTGAAAACCCTATGGAGCAGTTCTACTCTGCACACATAGGGTTGCCAGGAGTTGGAATCAACTTGATGGCAACTAACAACAACAAGGAGACTCTAATGACTTTGTTAAACATTTTAGGACATGATACAGAGCTACAAAATTTCCAGAAGGTAAATTATCCTAATAGAATTCAAATCCAGGCCAGGTTTAAGAAAATTATATTTGATTTTAAATGTCATGTACTTTATATCTATTACACATTGTGATGGTTAAGGTTATATGTCAACTTGGCTAGGCCATGATTCTCAGTGGTTTGGCAGATATTATGTAATCCATTTTGTGATCTGATGTTAGCAGCCAATCAGTTGAAAGGAGAGTTTCTTTGGGGGTGTGGCCTAGATCCAGTATATATGGACGTTCTGGCAAAGCTTGCCCTCTTGTAAACCTGCATCCGACTCATCATCCTCTTCCAGTTCTTGAGATGTGAGCTAGCAGCCTGCCTGACCTGCTGATTTTGGGGTTTTGGGTTTGTCAGCCCCTGCAACCACTTGAGTGAGAAACCTCTAGCCTGACACCTGACCCATGAATTTGGGACTTGAAAGCCTCCACAACTTTGTGAGCCATCACCTTGAAATAAATCTATATATATGCTTCACTAGTTTTGTTCCTCTGGAGAACCCAGCCTAAGATACACACATATTAGTTTCTAAAGTTTAAAATAGTTTTAAAATTAATAAGGACTTTTAAAAAAATCTTATGTTGAATTAGAAACTAGTAATTACAAGGGAGCTGTTTTGTATCTAGAAGAGATGACTGACAGATGCTTGAAGTTTAATGTGTGTGTTGTTTTCTTAGGATGTGAGTTGGAAGGTTGGTACCTCGTTCTGAACATCCATTTGACAACTTAGAAGAGATAAACGGGAGTTGAAAAGTATGTCACTTTTGTACTTGTGCTCATTTTCTTAGGAGGTGATCCCCAAATCAACTCCTTTTTCTCAAATTAGAGATGGATATATTTTGCATCTTACGTGCAATAACAGCCAATTGCTGTTAATTGGTCTTTGTAGTCCAATCTGCAGACAAGTCTGTATCTGATAAAATCTCTAGCTGGGTATCTTGGACTCCTGGCAGAGCTGTTTTATAGAAGTATACAGGTTCATAGAAACACTGAATAATTATACATTGGCCTGTATTTTTATTGCGTGAGAAAACTTTCAATGTTACACCCCATTTTGATAATAAAAAACTTCTTGCATAGCCTGGGATTTTTTTTCCTGATGCAAAGACTTACTAGAGATTTCAAAAAAGAATCTTTTCAACAGTAAATCCAGAGTCTTCTCATATTACTTAAAAACAAATTGTATTTTTCAAATGATATTTAAGTTATACAGACCACTACAAATATCTTCAAAACAAGTACATTATGGCAATATCATACTTAGGAGTTTCAGTTGATGCCAAGTCTACTTGAGAAAGAGTAAAAAGAATAGATAAAAACAACAGCTGAAGAGAAAAATCTCATTTCAAAAAGAATTCTTAGGAAATATAAAATTAGCTTTTAAGATAAACCACTACCTCTTCACCTATAATGGAGGAACTATAATGCACATGACCTTAGCACTGAAAACCTGAAATACACGACAGTCTTATTTTACACCAATGGCATTGTGATGATTAATGTAGCTTTTTCTTTGATAAATTTTGCTGTAGTCATTTCAGTATCAACAGATTCTGGAAGATTCAGATGTAATCTGTACTTTTCAGAGACCTCGATCAATACATCATCCTAAGAATAAACCAAGAGAGATTTTAAAAGATGAAAATGGAAAAGTATTCCCTGGTTAAATTTTGTGTTAGATTGGATTATTGTTCCCAGTAATTCATTCCTCTCTCCTAAGAGGATCCTACTTATTGCTCTGTGACTTTCAGTGAGCATTCTGAGGTTGGTTGTTAATTGCTGCACCGTACATCAAAAGTTAATATGGCACCAGAAATAGGGCGTTACCATAATAAAAGTCCTAAATTTTGTGGCATTGGCTTTGGGGCTGACCGGCAAGCAGCAAGAAAACTTACTGGAGACAGGAAAGGTGGTGACTGATGTAGTGATAAAGCACTTAGTAAAACTGTCACAATAATTTGGAAGGCAAATAATGCACCTAATTAATTTCTGACTTTAAATAAATGGAAAATAGAATGTTGGTAGTATGAGTTATTCTATTAGCTGCATTTAACAAGGTACTACAAAAAACGAAATGAGCTTAGAATTACCCTGTTTTCAATTAGAATTGAAAGGAAATAAAAAAACACAGAGCCCAGAAATTCTAAGACTTGAGGACTTAAAAATTGAACTAATTTGTATTTTCAACCGGTAAAGATAAAACTCAGAACTTATTTGATCAACAAAAGCTGATTAAAATAACCTAGAGGCAGAGACTAAATCACAGGCCTTTATGTCCTTTGTTAAAACCTCTGAATGGATTAAGGTGGACCTCAGTAAATCCTTTCATTTGGCCAAAATGATACAATAGACAAGCAAGTCTTGAAAAACAGGCATGTCTAAAAAAAAATTCTGGGGTGTAGCAATGACTGAATCAAATCAATAAAATAATCCCAGCCTGGACTAAAGGAATCTGATTGACAGCCTTTGGACCTCAACATTGTATGAGCAGGAAACAGGCGGAGAAAGCTGCTCAGTACCTAAGGATAGCATATTCTCCAATGTTCTATTCAGATGTGACCAAAGTGGATAATGAAAAAGGAAAAACCTCCTCCAAAATGAATCTGAAGATCATGGAGAACAATGAAACTGGGTAGCTAAGTAATCAAGTAACTTTGTCCAGGAACCAAAGCATGAATATCCCCTGCCTCCAGGGGCTGTAGCAATGTCTGCCTACCAGGATTTCAGAACTGCTGTGCACCAGTAATAGCTGTATGCCTCATATTTTTTTCCCATTACTCAATTGAGACTGTTTATTATGGTTGTCCTCTCCCCATTCTACATTTTATGGTGGATGGGGTTGGGGAGTAGATTACTTGTCTTTGTAATTCATAGGTCTGTGGTTCAAGAGATGCAGAATGTGTAGACCACTATGGCAAAATCCTATACTTTGGAGTCTAATACTGGATTGGAGGTGTTTTCCTTGGGAAAAGACACAAATATTTGTGACCAACAGAGTGGACTGAGATAGATTATAGTATTGTTCCCAACTGTTGGTTCCTCTTCTGTAAGAGAATTAATAACATCCCTGCCATATGACTTGCTGTGAGAGGAATATACTTCCCAGCCTTACTGATGTAGGACTTGGCTATGTGACTTCTTACTTTGGCCAATGAAATGCGAGTAAAAGTGATATATGCTGTGTTTGAGCAGAAGTTTTAGAATCCATTGCACGGTTTGGCCATTTCTACTATCCCTCTGCCATGAGAATGGCATATCTCAAGTGGGAATTGCTTCTTTACCTGGATCTTGAAATACATAAGACTCATGGAACAGAAAAAAACCTGTAGTAGACATGTAACCTGAGCAAACTGTTGTAAGCCCCTGAGATTCTGGAGTTGTTTGTTACTAGAAGGTACTAGGGAAAATAGTTTCTGCTTCTTTACAGGCTCCTTTCTCAAGAATTCAGACATTGACTGGGGGGAAAAAAAACCTGTGATCAAAATTTAAACGCGGTATATATGTACAAAAGTACCTGGGTGGCACAAATGGTTTGTTCTCAACTAACCTAAAGGTTAGCAGTTCAAACCCACCAGTGGCACCACAAAAGAAAGGCCTGATGATCTACCACTGTAAAGATTACAGCCAAGAAAACCCTATGGACCAGTTCTCTGTCACACATGAGGTCACCATGAGTCAGAACTGACTAGATGGCAGTGGGTTTGGTTTTTTGTTACTAGAGCATAATATAGTGAAAGTTGACAGAAATTTATAGTATGTATTCAACTTACCTTAGAAACACTAAGGTCACAGAGAGAGACTGAATCAATACCCGGTAATTCAACTATCAATTCAATTTTCAGAGGCTTCTCATTCTCATCTTTCACAATTTTTAATTCATAGGTTGGGGTCTTCATCTCCACCTGGATCTCAGTACTGCAAATCTCCTCAATCAGACATCCTGCTTTGTCTGAAACTTGATTCTTTGGCAATGTAAGCTGAGGAAAGTGATCTGGACTGCTCACAATACTGTTTCTTATCTGTTCAAGGGTGAGTTCTTTATAAGGAAGGGAAAGAAAAAAAGGGGGAGATAAATCACAAAAATCAATCGACATAAAATAGTATCAGGCTATGAGCTATAATATATGTAATGTTAGCTGAAATGACAGAAAAAGCTGCAGCTAAGTTAGTTTGGGAATCTTGTTTTTTTTTTTTTAATCGATGTTGAGAATATACACAGGGAACATACACCAATTTAACAGTTTCTACATGTACAATTCAGTGACATTGATTACATTCTTTGAGTTGTTCAACCATTCTCACCCTGCTTTTCTGAGTTGTTCTTCCCCTTTTAACATAAACTCACTGCCCCCTAACTTTCCTATCTAATCCTTCCAGTTGCTGTTGTCAATCTGATCCATATGGCCAGATCTTAAATGAGCACAATGCCCAAGGCAGACATTCTTTACTAGTTAAGCTAAACTATTGTTTGGTTTTAAGAAGACTTCAGGGTATATTTTTGCCTTAAGATTTAAAGATTATCTCAGGCAATAGTTTCAGGGGTTCATCCAGCCTCCATGACTCCAGATAATCTGGATTCCATGAGAATTAGAAATTGTTCTGCATTTTCCCCCTCTGATCAGGATTCTTCCATCAAATCTTTGATCAAAATGTTCAGTAATGGTAGCTGGGCACCATCCAGTTCTGATCTCATGGCAAAGGAGGCAGATTTTCATGGAGGCAATTAGCCACACATTCCATTTTCTCATCCTATTCCTGACTCTCCTTCTTTCTCTTTTGCTCCAGGAGAATAGAGACCAATTGTTGTGCCTTGGATGGCTGCCTGCAAGCTTTTAAGACCCCAGGTACTACATGCTGAACTAGGAGGTAGAACAGAAGCACTAAACACATTATTAGGCCAATAAACTGGCATGTCCCATGAAACCATTACCCTAAACCTCCAAACCAAGAAACGAAATCCCATGAGGTATACGGTTGTACATAAGCAGCCTCAGCAGCTACTTTTTTTTGGTCACTGTAAATATATCACACACTTTTGCTAATTCAACTTTTTACAGGTGTACAACTTATTGGCAGCAGCTACATTAATCAGCTGTGCAGCCCTACCCAAAATCACTGATTTTTTCATCATCATAAACCGAAACTCAGTACTCCATAACAGTTTGAGAATCTTAAGCCAAAAGAATCTTAAACCAAAGAATTTGGTTTAAAAGTCTGCAGGATTTTGAAAAATTTTTAGGATATTCTAATATTTCCAGTATCTAATCTTCATATTTTCCTATCTTAAGTTTCTCATCTTTTAAAATCGAAACTTCTAGTTTGCAAAATGTACACAGGATACAAAAATCTTAAGTAAGTTTAATTTTCTTTTTACATTCGTCAACATACCCTTTCTCATTTTCTGTCTTAAATCAGTGGAGTCATTCTGGATTCCCATCAGATTTTGTTTCATCCTTTGAATGCTTCCTTTTATTGTAAGTTTTGTAATATGGTAGGACTGTGAGAGGGTGGATTGGAGTCGCTCCTCAATGCATTTCATAGCCATCCGTATCAACAGATCCTTTTTCACCTGGTCTTTTTCTGCTGCCTGGAGAACATCAGGATTGTAGGCAACATCGATGACTGTGTAAACATCTGCATGTGTAATTCAGATGGTGTGAAATGAAGACAACTTTACCTTGTTTCACAAATGTTATTGTCAGGTAATAGGTATTAAACTGTAAACCTGATAAAGACCAAATATAAATGTCATCCCTGTATTTTTTCAGAGGCAATAATGGTGCTACATACACAAAATTCCAACTTGTCCATTTCTTAGCATTTTTATATGCTTAAAAATAGCTCATATTGTTAGAAAATTTTTAAAAAAGTATTCAATTTGCATAAAACCAAAACCTGTTGCCGTTGAGTCAATTCCGACTCATAGTGACCCTACAGAACAGAGCAGAACTGCCCCATAGTTTCCAAGGGGCGCCTCATGGATTCGAACTGCTGACCTTTTGGTAAGCAGCTATAGCACTTAACCACTACACCACCAGGGTTTCCAAATCTGCATAAAGGTATACTAATTTGTCATTAACTATCTCATCACCAAGTAAAATATTTTACTTGAAATGTCTTTTACCAAGAAAATCTGATCAATGCTTACTACCAATAAAAAATTTTAAATTTGCTGTCTCTTTCATAATTCTAGGTACCTGATGTCTCAGAAATATCTTCTGGCTTGCCAAGACTTATTGGTACTGGATGAGTGGTTGATTGGGGAACTGGGATCCTTTTCCACTGGCAAAGGTTGATGAAAAGTGTTTTTTCTCTTGGTTTCTAAAAAAAAAAAATTTTTTCTTTTGAAAGTTTACAATTCAAGTTAGTCTCTCATACAGAAATTTATACATACATTGCTATGTGACCCTAATTGCTCTCCCTATACTGTGACGGCACACTCCTCCTGTCTACCCCGGATGTTCCGCGTCCATTCAACCAGCTCCTGACCCTCTCTGCCTTCTCATCTCACCTCCAGACAGGAGCTGCCCATTTAGTCTCATCTATCTACTTGAGCTAAGAAGCACTCTCATCACGACTATCATTTTATGTCCCATAGTCCAGTCTAATCTTTGTCTGAAGAGTTGGCCTCGGGATGGTTTTAGTTCTGGGTTGACAGAGAGTCCAGGGGCCATGCTTTCTGGAGTTCCTGCAGTCTCAGTCAGACCATTAAGTCTGGTCTTTTTATTAGAATTTGAGTCCTGCACCCCACCTTTCTCCTGCTCCGTCAGGGACTCTC